GGCACCGGCCATGGCCGTCACCGGCGACGAGACAGGTAACGCGCGAGAAAAAACCAAAAGTGTTCGCTTTTTACGCTAGGCTGTGCGCGGCTGGGCTTAGTGTTTGTGACTTTTGCTTTTGAACTTGTTGCTGTAACTCTTTCATCTCCAAAAGCTGGCAGAAATAGGTTTCATGATAATTAGTGTAATATCAGTGTCATTTAACAGTTTTCTCCTTAAAAAAATCACTGTTAGAGCTGGCAAGTTCATGAACAAATTGATTCAGATAACTAATCTTTACTACTTGATTCAGGATTCTGCTGAAAAATCCATGAGTTTTCTTTTAAATCCTTGTTTTTGTAGAGATATATGTTGCTATGTTTATAATTATGCTTTTTATTGCCAGAACAAAAAAAATGCTGCTTTTAGATTTAGCGATAAACACTTGAGACTTGGTAAGCTAAAACAGACTTAAGCGTAGCCGTAAGAGGAAAGGTGGGCTTTGTTTTATTAGTATAAAGATATCTTTATGCTTTCATTGCTAAAGAAAATGGTGAATGCAAACAGCTTTGAAAGAGCAATAAAGTGGAATGTTGTAATGCCTGCTTGTTTTCTCCCACTGTTAAAATGGTCTGTTCCTCAGCTAATTGAGTTCAAAAGGCTGACGTCATTAGATTTCCTGGAATCGTGTTGCAGTAGGGAACTGGAAAAGTTAAACTCCAAACAAGATACACATTGACGTCAACTCCAAGTCATGCTGTGATTTAGTCAGTTCCCTTCTGCTTCGTCAATCCCCTCTGGCAGATCCGTAACGTTCCCTGGCTTGCAGCCAGCTCCTTGCATCTTGCTTATTGCTCTTTCCTATTTTTTCATTAATCCAAAGATAAGTATCCGAAGTCTGTGTTTTGTGATGTTTTATGCTCAAAGGAATAATGATTCATGCCTTACTTAGCCAGTTTAGTGGTGAAGTTTAAAGCCCTCTGATAAGCCAGTCCCCTCATGACTCATAGGAGGGAATAAATACACTAGCACATAGCAGGATCAGATTTTTCCCTGGCTAATGGAAGAATTCAAGTGCAGGAGTGCTCTCTAGTGTTCAGCAAGCTGGTTTCCCCGAGAACCTGCTGATATAAGGTGGTGTGTTTTTCTCCTGTTTCACTCGTGGTGTTCATTTCTCTGAGCGCGATTTGCAAGGGTAGTTGTGCTCTTGGATTTAGCTGTCTGAGGGTTTTCTTTTCTTTTTTATTGTTCATTTTCATTTTGTAAGTCTAAACTCAAATCTCTACATTTTTGTAGAGTGACTTTTTACTCTTCTGCAGTTTTAAGGAGAAAGAAAGTAATTGACCTTGGGATGATGAGTTAGGGGGAATCCACCGTCCCCGGGTCTGTCGTAATTCTCAGCGCTCCTCTGTTGCCTCCTGTGGTGGCTGCACACTTGGTGCGTTGTGAGAGCACAAACCACGATAGCTACTGTGCAGGTATTGCAAATACTTCCAAATGTGCCTAAAGACAAAAACAGGCTTGCAGTTTACCAAGCCCCCCCCCTTTTTTCTTTTTCCTGTGGTTTTGTTCAAGAAAAAATCCCCTGGCTGTAGATTACCTCTGCAAAACAGGTGACTAGAATTGCTGTTAGCAGGCTGGGTGCTGTGTCTCATTTGCAGGAATACCCCTGGAGCTTGATGTCGGTTCATCAGAAACAGCCATTCTTTGTGATTTCAGACTCCTGTCAGTGAGAGCAGAGCAGGGCGGCCTCTGTGTGTGTCCAGATGCTGACCTAGAGGGTACTGCTTGCTTCAGCAAAAGGGTACATTAATGGACTACAGCAGTGTGATGTTTATTTTTTTCTAGAGTATCCTTTCTGTTAAACTCTGTTTTGTTTCTCCCAGTGTATTTTTTTTTCTGAGGAAACAGCATTTTATTGTAAAGTTAGAGATAATATGCAACTTTTTTTTGCAGTTAGTAATAATTCACACTAGTCATTTAACTGTGCTATAGTAAGTACTTTACTGTAGAATAGAAGATGCTTAGTCATTTTTAACAGCTATAATCTGGATTAGGTAGACTTGTATGACCAAAACAGTTATTTGTGTCTCCTATCATACTTCCGGATAGACAAGCAAGCCAGTTATTAGGCAGGACGGAGCTGTTATTAGGATGTACATCACGGGAACGAGGTGGACGTCGTGCTCCAGCATGTTGTTCCTCACAGCGATGCGTGGGGGTGCGGGCCGGGCAGGGGCTGGGCCCCGCTGTGCCCGGTGCAGGTGCCCATGGCCCCGAGCCCTCCGCAGCGCGGCAGGAAGGGCCCTGCGTCTCCTGTGGTGGCAAATCAAGCGCAGGTGACAAAGTAGGAGGTGACCCCAGGTAGACATGACCCTCTTTTCTCCTAACTTGGTCTATAGGCAGAGTTGTTTCACACTGGTTTCTCATTTGTTAATGCAAATAAAGGGAACTTTTTTTTTTTTAACTGAAAAGAGGTAGAAGAAGGTAGTTTGTGTTGTAAAGTCTATAAATGTAGGTGATTTGATATAAAGCTGAGGCTAAAGAATTTCTGCTCTTCCGGTTTTACAAATAGCGGGCAGACGTACCGTCCCACCGGGATAAGTGGGCTGCTGAAAAGGAGTGCTCTGAGTGGAGGGCTAAGGAGCTCTGCGGTGGATGTGCAAAGAGGGGAAGGAGAACAGAGCTCCTGGCACCTTGCAAAGCCTTCATCCACCCATCCTTCTCCAGGGATTGTCTTTAACCTGGCTCAGCTCCAGGGTCCGGGCACTCCCGTGATTCCACATGCACTTTCACCCACAGCAGAGAGAGGGGAGAGGTGAGAGCTGCAAATTGTTTAAGCAGATGGTGATTTCGGAACGCACATCTGTGGAGAACTGTAGTCTGACACAATAGTTTGATCTTGTTTTTTCACTATAATTAATGAAGTACCTGCATCAATTTTTCTCAAAGAAAAACATGAATAGTAATTTAGTACCAAGTTTAGGGTTTTGTTTCTTTCTTCTCCTGTAGGTAAGTTCTGACTCTTTATTGCTTTACTCATCAGCCTCACAGTAGTGCTTTTGTCTATATTTTATCTTTCTAAGTTTTTTTTCCATTATTTCAGTATTGCTCTAGAGAATTGAAGTACAAATTATGTATAACAAAACAGCCACTGAAATTTGATCTCTTATGTCTAGTTGCTTTAATGAAGAAAGTTGCACATTGTTTTGTAATAATATGAAGCATTTATGGAAAATAACAGGCAAGTACTTGCTTTTAATTTTAATCAGGATGCATTTTTTTATTTGAATTTTCTATGTCTGAAACACCTGTGTGTGCTTCCTTAGGAACTTCACTTTATTTGAAAGCTGAGGATAGATCCCATAGAAACAAAGTATCCTAGAAATAAATATAGCAACAAGGTGAGAGTATCAGAAAGCTACTGTTTCCAAATTGCATGCCAGACTTCAAATCTGCATTTAACTTGAGGAAGCTCAAAGTTGACCAGCTCAGGAGCTGAGCCTGAATTTTTGGACTCCTGTTTGCTGTGTAGCTACAAACTCCATCCTGTGCAAGAGCCACCCCCTTCCCTTGGCCCCTAACGCAGCAGCATCTGTTAGAGGACCATGGTGGCAAAAAGAGCAGGAGCCTCTTCGTGTGCCAGCAGGAGCTAACTGCCTGAATGTTTGACAGTGTTTCTGGAACAGCTTCACAGGCTTCATCTGGCTGGTGGGCAGCAGGCCAGAGCAAGGCAGGTAGCTAATTCTACAGAGTAGAAATAAAAGCTTATGAAATAACAAGTACGACATTATAGACCTGTGAGATATTTTGTTATAGGGATCCTTGACAGCGCATCATCAGAAATCTGTAATTTCCGGGGAGACTTGGGAGACTTTTGCACAGTTCTGTTCTTGTCACAACGTTTACAATGTGATTCTGTGCTGCAGCTGCCACCGGGGACATGCCAGCCTACCAGCTCCGCACGCCCGCCACGGCCCTGCCGCAGGGGGTGGTGATGGCCGCGTCGCCGGGCGCGCTGCACAGCCCGCAGCAGCTCGCCGAGGAGGCCACGCGCAAGAGGGAGCTGCGACTCATGAAGAACAGGTAAGGCTGGGCAGCAACTGCCTCCCTTCTGCAACATAGAAACCACCAAAATCTAGTAGAGATTTCTACTTAAAGTCATGAGCCTGTGGCTGAGGGAGGGAATGCAAGAAATTCCTTCTGTGTTGTCAGTCGTGCCACACTCTTATATCACTGGTAAGCAGTGGCTGTTAATCAAGTTAGAGCTGTGCTCACATCTGGTGAGCTCAGATGTGCTCATTGCCATGGATTTTTGCTTCTGAAATACTATCGTAATTCAAACATCAGTATTAGTTTTGTCCATTACAGTTCATCCTTCACATAATCTAAAGAGAGGCTTACTGTTGAACAAATGTTTTCACGCATGTTTTTGATAGTAAATGACCAGCATGTGATCATGTTGACAGCTGTCTGTTAATGATGCTCTGAAGAAAGCTTATCCTCAAATGGAATGATAGTTATGGAATTTCCTAAATAGCCGGCCTCTAGGAAAATTTCCTGTGTAGTGCTACATTGATTTAATTAGGTGTGCCATTTAGCACGGTGTGTGAGGTGGTGGTATATTTTCTAACTAGTTGCATGGATTTTACTGTATGCAGTAAATATCTGTCTTTTACTGTGCCTTTTCTCTGACTGTTCTTAGAGAGCTTTTGCTTTTTAAGTGCAAAGCTGCTGACATCAATGGGAGGTCGATTCATGCCTTCCAGAAGAAATAGCCCACTGTGCAGATACGTTGACTAACCACTTGCCTTATGATTGAGTTCATGGTATTGCTTTGCTCTCATGCCTGTCCTTACTTTAAAAGACTCAGAAGAACTGCTGCGTTGTTGTAGTTTTAGATTTTCCTCTGTTCAGTTTTAACACTGCCCGGTGTCTAAACCAGCTCTGTCGCATGCTGGAAAGTCTCATCTCACAACCTGGCAATTCATGTTTTCAAATGTTGAAGGAGTGGAGCCTGTTCTGTACAGTCCAGCTGATGCATTAGCTCTTTCTCACTGTTTTTCTCAGTCCATTTGTGTATTGATTCTATCACTGTCATCGTTAGTGTTAAATTTGTTTTTGAGTTGTTTAAATTTTGTTGTTCAACCATGTTATTGCTTGTGGCTATCTGCTGTTCTGTTTGTGCAATCCAACAATTGATGGTGGTTGTCGTTATGGACTGTAGGGATTGCAGGTAATTTCATTTTTCCAGTGTTTGCCATGTTGTGGCTGTTCCTGTAGTCATTTACCTTGTATTGGTTCCAGGGAAGCTGCCAGAGAATGTCGCAGAAAGAAGAAAGAATATGTCAAATGTCTTGAAAATCGTGTGGCTGTGCTTGAAAACCAAAACAAGACTCTCATTGAGGAACTCAAGGCCCTCAAAGATCTTTATTGCCATAAAGCAGAATAACTGTCTTTCATTTGGACCTTGTTTATTACGAACTTTACCCAAGGCATGAGAGGAAGCAATTCTACAGATTGCCATATGAACTTGAGAAAGAGACACTTGAGGCCCTTGTGGAATGCAGTTTTGCTTAGTGGTTTCAGAGTGATTTGGGAGATGTTCCAAAATTTGGAATTCAGTCATAGTCTCCATACTCTGCTGAGCTTTCTAGTAGCATGCAAATGGCTTTTTTGTTTGCACTTTTTACTTCTGCTTTTTGCAGGGAAGCTGCTAAAGAATGTCGACGTCGGAAGAAAGAATACATAAAATGTCTGGAGAGTCGTGTTGCAGTGCTAGAAGTTCAGAACAAGAAACTTATAGAGGAGCTTGAAACCCTAAAAGACATTTGCTCTTCCAAAACAGATTAGTAGAAATATTTATTTTACTGTGAACTGACTAACATATGTCCGGTTACTTTATAAGGCAATACATAGCCGACATGAATTATGGCTTTCTCTTTGTGTCATTTATATTATATTCCAACTTCTAACATTCCTGAAATGCTTTCCTGCTTTTTGTCAATTTTTAGCTCTGATTCCAGCAGTTTTCCATGCTGCTCTCGTCCACCTCCCAAGGAGCCGAATGTTAACGTGTGTAACAAAGTTAAGAAGCGCATAATTTCTAAGAGCTATTTCTTTGCCATATATCCACATTACTACTTTTTACATGTTACTGATAGCGTCCTGCACATACAGAATATTTTACAGTTGTTTTAAATGAATCATAAAGATAATGCATCCAGTAATACACAAAATCAAACTACTCAAGGTATCTCAGGAAAGAGTTTATAAAGAATGTTATGATTACATGTATGTATTAGAATACTAGTCTACAAATGATTTTATGGCATATTTTTATATTAGTTGCTTTGTGGAAAAAGTATTGTATTGCTGTCACGGAGTGCCATGGTTGAAGATAGTTTTTAATAGAACCATGTTGTTTAACCTGCGTAGTGTCTGGTTTCATTTAAACATCTGTTTATTTGAGATGCTTTAAGGGGGAGGAGAAGAAAGCATACATCAACTCCATGACATTTTACTGAGTGTATTGCAGATACTTGAAAAAAGCTTTCTGTCAAATCCTGCTATTTACTTGAATTTTCTGTAGCCTGTGAAATATTTGATATATTAGAGATTTATTTATCGAAATGTCATTTTACATCCTGAGTGTTTCCTATTCTAGATGCTGGACAACTGTAGACAGTTATCTATAGTGAAGGATGATCGTGTAGTCCTTTCCACTCTGGAAAGTGTTGAGAGTAAATAAAGGTTGCTTAAAGAAGGAAACTTTCCAATAGACAGTAAATATTTGCTGACTCACAGAGCTTCAGAATAAACTGTAGTTGAGAGCTGCAGATATTTAACAATAAACCCCTGCTTAAACTAAGATGACAGTTCTGGTAAGTTCATCACTTGCCAACTTTACATTCCGATTTGAAGAAGAACAGTGCATATACAAGATTGCTCCTGGGTGTTTCTTCAGTTCAGGAATGGCCTAAGGGAGTGTTGGCCCATGCAGTCTGTGAACGGAACGTCTGGGAGCTTTGCTGGAACCAGCAACCCCAATGAGTTGGTAAGAAAGATTTAGTTCCTGCTTAGTTGGCTTTACCAGATAAGAAAGAAAAAGAAGGTGGAATCCTGCCCTCACTAAAGTTATTAACACTTCTTTACTTGATTTAAAATGATTTTTTTAATGTACTCTGTCACTTTCCTAAATTATTTGAGATAACATAATTTTTCAGATTGTTTTTGAAAAGCCCACAGGGTGCTTAAGTGAGGCCATATTTTTAAGAGCTTGGCTCTCCTCTCCCTTCCATACAGCTACTTCACATGGTTTAAAAAGTGGCAGGTCCATGCTGCAGTCTTTATAAACTGCAGCAATAACGTCCAGCAAATTGCTTGTTGTGGCTCTGTCACTAGAATCTCTTTTCTGTTACAGGTCAGCACTGCTCCTTACTCCCCAAGGAACTTGAGACTAAGTGGAAAGAAACGTGGGTGCAGGGTCGATGCCTACCCAGCACAAACGTATTTTGTGATTTCATCTTCTCTGTCGTATCTGGTATTATTGTAGGCAGAAATTTTGATACATGGCACCCTTGTGTGTTCTGTTATCTGTGCAGCCTACAGTCATATCTTTGCTAATGCTTATTCAAGATTTAATTAATGTCTGTCTTTTCAGAGAAGAGGTGGGGGAAAAAATAAATTCAAATGTTCTAAAAGTGTTTGGTCATTCTGGAAAACTCCATTTCATACACTTAAGTGCAGCAAGGAAAAGCATCCTGCTTCTGAAAAGTCCACTGGGTCATTTAGACTAAGACTAAGAAAAAAGAAATGTTTATGACATTCATAAACGTTCTTTCATTCTTGATAATGTGGCTTGGGATAGAAATCATGTTGATATAACTAGTAAACCAGATTTGTGTGTTTAAAGTGAGAAGGAGCAAGTTCAAATAGGAACAAGGCTGGTGAGTTAGAACCAAGGTGCATCCTGTGGTGAAGGAAATAACTTTGCTGAAGGTAAGCAAAGGGTGCTCTGCACAAATGCCAAGAGTCTGTTATTAATTTGATACTGGAAATGTATTAATAACAAATGTAATAGTAAATATATAATAGTGTATAATAAATCCAGTATAGCATAATAGTATAATAGTAATCCAGTTCTGAAATGGTTTGGGAGATGAACTTTGAAAACTCTGTGAGAGCTTTGCTGAGATTAAATGAAAATTAGGAGGACACCTTAGTAAGGAAATAACACAAAAATAATTATGTGCAACAAGACTGCTTAAACCTGGGTCTTTGCTCAAGCAGCATGTCAGAGGATTAAAGTGATAAACAGTGCTAGGATATGTGAATTAATTTTAGATTATAGAGGAAACCATAATAAATGGCATTAAGTATTTCCTCAATTTATTTTTGTCTTTAGACTTGCAGTATAATTATTAAGCCTTCACAAGTTTTAGGTCATAGTTGGAGGCTCTGCTAGAGGCCACTTCAGTGAGATATTAGATGCTTCTGAACGTACATCAGCACTGGAATCCCTGGTACATGCAGGTGGGCTGTGTCCAAGCACAGAAGGTTTGTTTTGAATTCCCACCTACCAGACTTGCATTTGCGCCTCTGTGTCCTGTGCTTTCTTGTGTTTCTCTTCAGGAGTTTCAGAAATGAAAATGCCGGACACTGTTATTTGTTACTCCTTCCTCCCCATGCAAAAAAGCTAAAATTGGTGGGTGTCCCTGGGGGCTTTGACTGACATCGTTTTTGAAGCCCTGTTGCCTAGTAGTCCAAGCAAAATTGTGTGTGTTTGGATAATGGCACCCAGCTCTGGGTAGCAGGCCAGTAAGTGATCAGTTTATAAGAAGCATGTCAGACTTCAAGCATAAGGTAAGTCCTAAGGTTTTTATCTAAATTAGTTACGAATCTTTTCCTGATAATACATTTTGGTGGAAGGGAGGAAATTGCACCCTGTATTTTGTCTGTCTCTTCACTTTCTGATCACTTTTGGGTCACTCAAAGGCCAAACAACCTGTTTGTAGAGAATTGCAAGATGGATCAGAGACTGTCCTCGAAGCTTCTCCATTAGTGGCCTTCACTGGCAAAGCTGTCCCTTTGACTGCCAGGTCTCATTTTTTTGCGTAAATGTGGATCTCTTGCTTTCTCTAAAATATCCTTGTATTTGAAACGACAGTGCAAACATGCAGATTGCGCGTGGAAGGTCTGTGATGCAGTTGTCAGTCACTGACTTTGGGAGATACAGTGTCAGTGGCTGCTCCCGTTTGAGTACCACACACACACAGAGGTGAGGACTTGCCCTCTATCCCCATTTTAATTCCTAAGTTTTTAGCTGAATGAGAGCATTGAGGTGAAGAAAGCAAATCAAAAGAAGATTAGACACATTCAGCACTTGATGCCCTTGTGTAGCAGCATGGGGAAGAATGCCCAAGTCCAGTGGACATGAAAATACTTGTACAGAGTGAAGTATTTGGAGATGTTCGTTAGGATTCGCTGTGCCTGACTGTGCCTCCAAAACAACAGCTGCTCCTGAATAAATTACCATTCACCTTTATTTTTCTCCGTGGGGTTGAGTGAGAGGTAAAATCCCTCCAGAAGGCTTCAAATGGCTTTCATCATCTCTATTTTATCTTGAACCCTGCAATTGTGGCAACAGTTGGCAGATAGCAAGTCATGTTCAGAGAAATCTGTTTAGAAAAGATAAAGTCATTTTTTTAATTTAAATTTCCACCTGAAATTTCACTTTTGACTATGCAATAGTCTGGAAAAAACCAGCTTTGTTTAAAATGCACATTGATTGCTAGCTGTCAAATTGCTCAAAATACCAACTTTTTAAGCATTCAGGCTTTAAATAGCTCCATGAAGTATATCATTGTGTTCAGCACAAGGTGAGAGGGGTGAGAAGGAAGAGTGGATTGCCTGTTTTCATTAAAAGTCTTTACAGTAAAAGTACCTGCCAAGTTACTACTCCCAGGTAACAGAAGAGATTTCAGTTCAGCCTATTCTTTATCTCTGCCACTGCTCAGAGTAGGCATCCAGGGGCCTTCATGCCTGTCTTTGTGCATTCAATATGGTTAATGCTTGGCCTTTTTAATTATACAGCCCCTCTATGAGTATTTTCATAAAGGTTTGCCCACATCACAGCTGTTGAAGAGGGAAGTTACTCCTGTGTTGAGCTGCCTGAATTGCTTCAGATTTTCTGTGCCTTTGGTCTTAGATGAATTGATTTTGTGCCTACCAAACTTGCTCCTCTTACTATGCGTCCCCCACCCCATCCAACAAATAAATTCCTGATGTTTTTGATTTGTTTTTTTTTTTTTTTACTGTCAGTAACCCAGTCTGATGCTGAGAAACAGTAAGTTACATGAGTAGCTCTACCAAAGTGAAGTGGAAGCATCCGCTGTGTCCTCTTCTGTATTAAAGACCTGCTTCTTTCTTTGTCTCGATGCCTGTAGCTGCTGAGTTTTGATGACTTGTCAGTAAGGGAACCTTCTCCAGAAGGATAATATCAAAACTGCCTTCTGTCTTACAGCTTGGGTGTTGTTGGTTTTATTGCCTTTTCCCACCCCTTGCTGCTATTTCTACTCTCAGAAAAATGTTGCTAGGAATATAAGACAACAACTAAAGAGCAGGCATGTCTAAGTTTTGCTATTTGATGGCTTTGTCACCATCTTTTTTTGATAGATCTGGGAAGCACCTACTTTTCTAATGAGAACATAGCACTGAGCTCTGGATCCAGTACAATTTCCATAGCAATCTGATTCCAGCTTGGATCTATGCATTAGGGTCCATACTGTGGCATGAGAAAAACACCCTTTGGGCACAGTATCATCCATAAGACCAAAATGTTAAAGGAATCCGGGCTGATTTGTTGCAAGGAGAATTTGAGCACTGCCCAAGCTGTGTTTTATCAGAGCCAGGAGATTTTTCATCAGTACCAGTAGAGAAGGCTGAAATAATTGTGGTGGTTCTTCTGTAAGAAAATTACATCCCTCTGGTACCAAACTATTTTCTCCCTTGCTGAATCTGTGTAATAGTTTCCAAATTTCTTTGTGACAGATAGCTGGAGGATCTGCAGGAAGGTGCACATCAGACTGCAGGGCTGTTTTTTCTCGAGCAGAATTTCTCGTAGCTCCCAAGAGAGCCCTGGACCTCGCGGAGGGAGCCCTGGGTGACGAGGGATGTCCCGCTCGGCTTCCTGTGCAGGTGCCACCTGGGATCAAGGCTCTTTTCTTTGCAGCTAAGCAGGGTGCGTGGGGAGCAATGGAAGAGAAGCCCTCAGGCTGTGAGAACTGTCTCTCTGCTGCCCAGGACAACCCAAGCTGTTGTGAGCTGGGAAAATTGGGACTGAAATAAGTGTATTGTGTGTGAGCAGGGTCTTTTCAGATTGTTAGTTCCCGTGGATTTTACAAGATCTCTTTGCAGTAATGACTGTA